CATTAGATTGATATCCTGTGTGTGTGTGTGTGTGTGTGTGTGTGTGTGTGTGTGTGTGTGTGTAACCGTGCGTGCGTAAATATGTGTGCATATGTGTATGTGTGTGTGACACCAAATGGATTCGATCAAATGGATCGAATCTATTAAATCCATATCCTCTGCGTGTGTGTGTGCACGTGCAGGCATTCACACACACACACACACACACACACACACACACACACAAGTTATACATGTAAATAGTTACTATCTTCCAATAAAAAAAAAATAAAAAATAATATTGGCAAGAAAAAACGAAAAAAAAGAATGATTTTTACTTTAAAAATAGGTGATGCTGGGTTGGTGTGAGTAAAGTAAACCACTTTTCTCAGGGTTATTGTTAGTCCATATCCTCTGTGTCTGTGTGCGCGGGCACACACACACACACACACACATCTCAGGGTTATTGTTAGTCCATATCCTCTGTGTGTGTGTGTGCACGGGCACACACACACACACACACACACACACACACACACAGAAACGTGCATGCACTCACACACACGCATTGCAGGGTTGGCATGAGTAAAGTCGACCACTTTTCTCAGGGTTATTGCTAACTCTGGGTGATGCGGCGAGTCCTTACCGATCAGTCAAATGCATCCTCAGCAGACTGTAGGGGTTCAACCTCCTGGCGAGTCAGTGAAGGTCTGACGAAACAGTCTAGCACAGTCCTGCTTTTTTTAGTGTATTCTACTGTACAGTGAATATGACAACACACACCCACACACACACACACACACACACACACATTTTGTTTTTTTTTCCTTTGAACTCACACGCCCCCGAAAGCTTCCACATACGCACGCCAGCAGGGGGCACGCACTCAGTTTTATCCCGCTCCCTGCCACGTGGCAAGTTCAAACGTGTTTGAACGTACCACGTGGAGGTTTGAACGGGACCGTTAAGACATGGACACACGTTCTGAGCGTTCGGGCCCGTTCGGGCCGTTAAGACACGGACGCACGTTCTGAGCGTTCACACCGTTACATAACGAGGTACCAACTACACCGTTCCATACATACATAGCAAGGTACCAAACACCCTTGAGATATAGCTCTCCTGCTCCTCTGTGGCCGGATATTCAACCAGCACGGACTCAGAGATACTGACCACAACAGCAAAAATCAAAGGGCCAGCCTCCTGCATCTCCCTCCCTCAGTTCCGTATACTGTAATGATCCTGCCCTATGAAATCCAAGCCCTCCTGCTGGGCATCTGCGATCATCGCCCATTGTTCATGCCAAATCCTTCAGGACAGACGGGGGATGATCGCAGGGTGGGAGAGAGTGGGCCCATTCTCAACATCTTCATGGGCCCACTCGCTCCCACCCTTACCAGCACCTCCCCCGTCATTTTTTTTTAATTTTTTTTTTTAATGCGTGTCATCCTTGAGCAGGGGCCATGCTAATATTCTGTACCGTTCCCAGTTGTAACGGATGTCGCGAAGGACCTGGGATTGTCTTTTATGTTTTGTTGGACATCCTTCAGCACAGACGGCGGCAGTCGCAATAGATTGATTACTTTCTTTTGCAGGCAAGGTGTTTTGATATCCTGGTTGGTCTTGTCTCTACCGTCGTTTGCCCTGTGAAGTTGGGGGGCGGTGCTTACATGTGGGACTTGTCATCTAGGATTTGTTTCCCCCTGTTTTGTTGCGTTCGGCTGTTTCCTTCCCTCTTTTCTTTGCCTCTTTGCCCTCTGGCTGAGTGCAAGTGGGTCGATATGACACACCCGGGGGGGGGCAGCCGCCGTTCAACTTACATCCACGTGGGCGGGACCTTGTACGCAGAAGGTTCTGAACAGGAGTTGTAAGGAAGAAGAGAAAAAAATTCACAAAAACGAATTCATTTTTTCCTTGTTTTCTTTCTGTTTTGTTTTCGCTTTCGCGCTCTGATATGCTTGTGACAATATATATTCAACACCCCCCCCTCTGCGTCTTCGTCTTGACCACACCTCCCCTCCCCCCGCCCCCCCCAACTTCCCTTCCTCTCCTCACCCGTCTATTCCCCCTTCCGTTTTCCTCTCGGATCTGTCGGTCACCACCTCAGACCTCAATCGCCTGCCTGCTTTCGTTCCTCCCACAGACAAAGAAATAGGAGAGCTAGGAACAAACACAGTCCCCTATAGAAGACACAAAGTGCGACTTCAGAGACACAAAGTGCGACTTCAGAGACAAAGTGCGACTTCAGAGCATAACATACTGCGCATGAGTCTTTTTTTTTTCCTCCACCGAATTTGGGCGTACTTGCGGTCAAAGGCCGGCCGTCGAGAAAAACTCCTCCGGAGAATGCCACGTGCGTTTTATGAACTCGGTCAGATTCGGCGAGAACAAGTTCTAATAGCGAGTATGCACTTCGTTCAAGCGAACATTCAAAATCTTTTCGGGACCAAAAAAAGCCTAAACGTACTTTATGAGCATCACGCCCTTCGCATGCTTCGCTAACACAACCAAACCCCGGTCAGTGTACTCGGAGAACACCGAGCTAACTGAACAACAACCCTAGCACACTACCATCTTCCCCCGAGTAAAACGTACGGTCATTATAGCCGTACTTGCTCACCTTGCTGTCCAGATGCAGCGAAAATGACCGTACGTTTTTATGCGAGGAAGATAGGGGTTCACTGTACGTGTTCATCGTACGAGTAGAAAGAAAAGATAGATCGTGCAAGCCATGACGGTAATTTGAAGAGTCGACACTAGTGCGAGGAAAATAGATCGTGTCAAAAAAAAAAAAAAAAGATCATGTACGTCTTCAGTGTACGAGTAAGAACAACCTCCATTGTACTTCTGGATCCACTGCCGCTCCGCCCCACATCTCCCCCCCCCACCCCCACCCCCCACGCTCGCAAAGGGTGGGAGATCAAGAAAAGTCACCTAATTAATGCTGCTGCCTTCGATCTACAAATGGTGCAATCCTGGGCTTTAATTGATTAGAAACCCCTCCTACACTACTACACCCTTTGGTCCTTGTCGGCGCTACCGGTCGATCAAAAGCCCAAACGCAGAACCAGGATGTGCGAATGACAGAAAGAAAAGAGAACCGAGTGGAAGTGCACAACTACAGCTATGCCCTCTCATTACATCGGGGATTACCTTCTTCCCGCGAATAAAACGCACGGCCATTTTCGCTGCATCTGGACAGCCAGGTGAGCCAAAAGCGGCTGAATTGACCGTACGTTCTATTCGGGCGAAAATGGTGGTAGCTCACAACTCAGCCAGCTGATAAGAGCCATGAAGAGAAGATCCACCAGGCATCCACGAAAGCCGAACAAGGAAAAAAAGAAAGAAAAACTTTAAAATTTTAAGAAACGAGACGAGTGAGAGAGGACAGGAGGCGTGCGATAACCTTTCGTCGTGGTGGCAATTTCCCGCTCAGGGCACCCCCTCACACTGCGGTCTTTTTCGGACGAATATGCGCGTAATCAAGGTCAGATGCATTCAGGAAAGTACTAATCGGATGACGATCCCCTAGCAACGGTAGTGTTCTGTGTCCAAACAAGAAGAAAAAGAAACCTAAACGCAGCGCAGACCCCTTACAACTTCCCCTAATTTTGACACAAAACCCCTAAAGCAAGGGCGGCAAACATAAACCAACCTAATATAATAAGGCGAAGGCAAGGCAGGCTTTCGCCCTAGGTTATCGTCTTCTTCCCCCGCACACAACCCACACCCATACTGAATGTATACAAGCTATCTTTCCATCCCGATACGCTCATAATGACAGTACGTCGCGTAACACGGAACACGGTCATCGTCAAAGCACCCAGGTGTACACAGCCTGCATGTTCTGTCAAAGAATTTTAATATACATATCAATATATATTGTCACAAGAATATCAGCGCAAGAACGAAAAAAAGTACGATAACAAAAACAAGGAAAACATGAATTCGTTTTTTTTTTTCCTTACAACTCCCCACTGTTCAGAACCGCTTGCATACAAGGTCGCCCGCGTGGATGTAGGTTGCGCGGCGGGATATATATATATATACATATACATACATATATATTGTCACAAGAATATCAGAGCGCAAATGCGAAAAAAAAGAAAAAAAAGAAAGAAAAACAGGAAAAAATGAATCCATTTTTTTTATCTTCCTTGTACCTCCCCCTGTTCAGAACCTCTTGCGTACAAGGCCGCCCAAGTGGATGTAGGTTGCATGACGATGCATATAAACGTACATATGTCAATATAGACAGCCGCCAGGTGAACCGTAGGCAGAGAGGGAGAAGACGACAACAAACGAGAGGCTGTGACAGAATGTTTCGTCGGCGTTCCACCACCTCGTCAAAAGGCAGAGATGTGTATACATATATACATCTGGAAGTCCAACGAACAGCCAGCCAGTTCTCTATGACGATAGAAATATAAATGCACATAAACATATATCCCTTCCTCTTTTCTTTGCCTCTTTGCCTTTTGGCTGTGTGCAAGTGGGTCGATATGACACACGGGGGTGGGGGCAGCCGCCGCTCAACCTACATCCACGTGGGCGGCCTTGTACGCATAAGAGATTCTGAACAGTGGGAGTTGTAAGGAAGAAGATAAAAAAACGAATTCAATTTTTTCCTTTACTTTTTTCTTTTTTTCGCTTTTGCGCTCTGATATTCATGTGACGATATATATATGAACAACGATAACAGCATCGACAGAGTCCAAACACCTACACGGAAGCACTTCAAGGAAAAAGGCAATCGAGTTCCTTCCGCGCCATAGTAAAACAAGGGGCTCGTTCAACCCCCCCCCGCACAAATTACCTTTTAAAAATAAGGGGGGCTCGTTCAACCCCTGCTTAGAGCAGATTACCTCACTTGGAGTCTATGTATTACCATTACTCACCAAATTTACGTTCCAAAAAAAACAGGGACAGCAAACTCTTGTTCCGTCGAGAGACAACATATCACACGACCAGCGCATTAATAAGAGAAGAAGAATACAAATCCGACCTTCGCCCCAACGCCATCTCGAACGACCATTCTCCCATGCGTTGCAGCGATCACTCTGGCCTGCATGATTAGCCATCCTGCGCATAAAACACGCTGGTAGCATTGTCAAGACGCAAATAACACGAGAGACGAAGCCTCCATTACAAATTGCAGTTCCCCATTGCGCTCACATCAGGAACACGACAGCCAGACGCAGTTTCTGAGAAACAATTGACTAAAAAACACTCCCATCACGAACGCATCATGGGCAAATTATACTCGAACAAAGACCGGACTGAGTAACATAGTCGAACAAAGAACGGAAAGAGAAGTACTTGCACCCTACAGACGCAAATAACACGAGAGACGAAGCCTCCATTACAAATTGCAGTTCCCCATTGCGCTCACATCGGGAACACGACAGGCAGACGCAGTTTCTGAGAAACAATTGACTAAAAAACACTCCCATCACGAACGCATCATGGGCAAACTATACTCGAACAAAGACCGGACTGAGGAGCATAGTCGAACAAAGAACGGAAAGAGAAGTACTTGCACCCTACAGAGAATGCCTAGCATAGTCGAACAAAGAACGGAAAGAGAAGTACTTGCACCCTACAGAGAATGCCTCGCCGACATTACAGATATGAGACAGACTTACAGACATGAGACACAATTTAGGTCAAAAAAATTTTCGTCCGATTAATGGTAATGGTTCTCTCTCTCTCTCTCTCTCTCTCTCTCTCTCTCTCTCTCTCTCTCTCTCTCTCTCTCTCTCGTGCACATACACAAACACAAACACACAGCTAGACAGAAAGGTAAAAGCACAACTTCACCATTCTTACCAGTCTTCGACAGGACGCTCTATCCTCCTCTCGTTACTTAGAGAACACGAGACGAATTCATCTCCTCCCCATCTCTACCTAAACCGATGACACCAGTAATGACGAATCATGCACAGAGATGTCCCTCTCCAAATAACCATGCACACACAGGAGCGAAAGCGAGAGAGGCACCACCTTCAGTAATAGAAACAGAAACTACACGAGCCCTAGCAACAGGGCACTCATCGTCCGACCTTCGACGGCGATTCACATGATAAAGCGACTTGTCGCCAACGAACTTCCGTCCCAAACCTATGACAGCACAGAGATGCCGCTTACTATTTCGATTGACTCCTAAGAAAAGATTGCTCTGCCTCAAAAGCAGGGACAAGAAATTAACGTCCACCAATCCAGCAGAGCCAAGAACACACAAGCGCAAAATTCCTTCCTTCGTCCTCGTCTTCCCCGACTTACCTACAGAGTATTGGCGAGCTACACATGCTCAAACACTCACCCGACATCGTCCTTCCACCTCCTAATGCAGAACACACACACACACACACACACACACACACGCACACAGAGAACAGCAGACGTACGCGCGGGCAGAGACGCATACACAGAGAGGCGCATAATAGCACGCAAGCAACGGCACAGCGTAAGGACAGAAGAAACAAGCGATAAAATGGAAGCGCCCAAGCATCATACTCTTCCATCAGTATTTCTCAATGACAAGGATCACTATGCACGCCGCGACCGACGTTGAGGAAGAGTCCTCCTCTCGGGAGCCTCCGTCGCAGAGTCCCCGTCTTGTTCTTTGATTCCCTCCCCTCCATCCGACACAGCAGCGTTATCACCCTCAGCCGCCTCCACCTCGCCCGCCTCTGTCCGTGCCTTTCCCTCCTCGCCTTCTTGCTCGCCTTCTGCCACGTCATCCTTGGTCGCTATGTCCTTCTTCTTGATAACGGCCACATCTTCTTCCTCGCCTTCCAGTGTCGTTGCTACCGCCTTCGCTGCGCCTCCACCGAACACACAGCGCATCACCACAAGCATAACCAACAAAGGCACGACTAGAACCAGCACCACTTGCGCCACAAGGCTGTCTTCGATGAACTCCAACGCGGAATCTGCCTGCGCCGCGAATTTCTCCGGGACATTGCTCTCAACCACAGCCCTTATCTTCTTCACTATCGTTGTCCTCAAACTGGCAACCGCCTCGCCATCCCCTCCGTCCTTAGGCTTGCTGCCTTCTGCCTCCTTCTCCTTCAGGTGCTTCACATTCCATGTCTTCTCTCTGATCTCCTTCGCGACATCGACGTCGTGCCCGATCATGATATTGTCAAACAAGATGCCATCGGACATCGTCCACACCTCGATTCCGACGGCGGCGATGGGTTCAATCTCCGGTGAGGTAACCTCAAAGTAATCAGGGTTAGCGATCCGTCTAGGCTTCCACGGACCCTTGTAGGCCGGGTTGTCAATGAGAGGAGCACTCCACTTGCCCTTGTACGCCGGGTTCCTCTTCATCGGTCGCACCCAGTCGCCGCATCCGGGCGCTTCTTCGCATTTAGGGTTTGGCACCTTGGGCGGCTCCCACTCTCCATCCTCATCCTCATCCCAGACGTCGGGTTTGCTCGCCTCAGGATCGTCGATCATCTTGGGCTCGTCTACCAGCCATCCCTCTGGCATGACTGCGTCTTCATCGACCAGCTCCATCGGCGCATCTTCGTCCCAATCGTCCGGCTTCGTGGCTTCAGGGTCGGCAATCTTCGCGTTCTCTACCCAATCAGCAGGCTTCTTGTCGTTCGGATCGTCGATTTCCTTCGGGGGATTGACAGCCGGCTCAAAGTCCTCCAGAAGATTGGCCGTCTTCTTCACCTCGCCGTCGATCAGGACCTCTAGGGTATTGGTCGCGGAGTTGAGGATGGCAGAGTACACGTGACTCTTCTTGTCACCAGGCACCGTAGGAGGAGATTTCAAATGATGCTCCACATACTTATCGGTCTTCGGATTCTTGAGACGGAAGATGAAGTGCACCTTGTTCGTCCCTCCGCACTTGTCCGGACCGAACATGACCGAGTAGCCCGTGTCGTCCTTCAGCTTGCTCGGACTGGTCAAGTCTTGAGGCAGCAAGTACTTCAAGTACGCGCCGCCGCAGTCCAGCCCATTCTGAAACCGCACATCGTACTGCAAGACGGTCGTCTTACCCTTGGGCTCAACTGCCTTGGGCAATTCCCGCGCAATCCCGTACTTCCGCGCCTTTTCGCTGAGCAAGAGGCCGTAATCTTCGCTTCCTTCGGACGGCGCGTGTTTAAACACCCCCTCGTAGCCCGGCTGAGTGGAAACGACCCATCGGTCTTCCCAAGGGGTGTCGAACACTTCCAGGAACTCGAATCCTTCAGACGGAAGCTCCACCTTATTAGGAGGCGATGCCACCGCCTCGGACGCCTCACCCTCGACGCCCACATCCTCCCTCCTCTCTTCCTCCGCCGCTACGGCAACGCGCGTCAGACACGCACATGCGGCAAGGCCAACAACGCCCAACAAGGCGAGCAACCATAGCCGCCGCGGCTGGGCCTTCCCCCCCTTGTCCCGCCCCATCCTACTCAAACCCACTCACCAGTATCTTAACCTAACTTACTGAAGGCCGTCACTTGCTCCTCCTACCTGGAATGTCGCTGTATAACGGCCAGATATGTGTTCTCTACCACCTCTCTTCAACGCGCCTTCATCTTCCAGACAGAAAAAGAGAACCGCTCAGGAGGAAGAAAAACACAAACACAGTCGAAAGAAGAAAACAAACAGCAGGAAAGAAACACGAACGGAACAATGAAAACCAGCAGGAGACACAGAATCTCGCCTTCCCACCGTGACCGAAGAGAAGGATGTGTAGACGCTCACCACCCAGCTTCTCGAGGAGCAGGCCGGCAACTCCAACTCCCCCTCCACCCCCGGGGCGAAGCTGCCTCTTTGCAAAAAAGACCCGCCGACGACCCGCCTCTTCTGCGTGAGAGGACACTGGCCCAATTTTCTGTTCAGCGACCAAGTTCAGCCTTAGTAAGGAATTCCCGGGCCAAGCCACGGGCCTCAACTTCCCAACTAACCGATCGATCGATCAGCCGAGGCAGATCGCCAGCCCTGTTTATCCTCTGAGTCGAACTCACATCTCCTCACCCATCAGCAAGAGTCAGCAAGAGTGATTAAACGACACGCTTGCGATCCCTCGCTTCCCTTCCTCCCCTGCAAATATGCAAGTACAACCTTCACAGCCCCCAGTTACTTCCCTCTAATCACGATTCACCTCACCTCTGAAGCGCAATGGGCACAGACTCACACACGCCAACACAGTTTCTGGCGAAGGTAGAGCAGGAAGAACCCGATGGCCACAAGAACAGTGAGGCAGTGATCCCCCGCGCCACCACCACCTCCCTTCCTCGCACCCCGCTGAGACTCCCAACTGGCATTTACGTGCGCGTCGCAAGTTTGGCGGCGGCAGGCTGCATTGCGCGGGAAGGGCCGACTGCTAAGCGCCACGCCCACCCCCAGCAGCGGTGCGCTCCCGCCGAGGCTTCGCGATGCCGGCGGTCGTCACTGCAGCCTCGGGGAGCCTCTGGGCTCTGCGCTGTGGCGTCGTGTTGTTCTCAGAAGGGGTCACGTGCCGACGGATAACATGGTCCGCCGCTGAGCAAATTTTCGCGCTGAGTTGCCACGAAACTAGCCTCTTTTCCAGCCAGGTTCGTCTTTTCTCAACCCCCTAACTGCTAGCACTTCTACTACCAAAAAAACAAAGCGCACTATGTAATGCCATTGCCAACCTCTGCTACTACTAATAGTAAGTAAGCAACGTGCACTACGAAATAATACTATGCGGCTATGCTATGGGCATATGTCCACCAGGTACCAGTAAGCAAAAGGGCATATGTAATGCTATGCGGCTATGCCCTACCTCGCAAGCAAAGCGCGCCATGTTCGTGTAGCGACGCTCTGGGTCAGGCCGAACGAACGCCGCACAGTAGGACCTGGCCCTAACTTAGCACAAACATAGCACAAACATAGCACAATCAAAGCACAAGTGTAGCACAGTTGTAGTGTAGCACAAACATAGCACCAACATCGCGCAGGAACCATTGGGCTTCCGGGACATATTGGATGGACTATGTACACCTCCGGTCGTCCAGCACCGTAGTGGCCCGGGACCAGGTCCCACTTACCCGAATTCTCAATTTCCGACCGCAGATTAGGAAGATCAACGGTCAGCAATGAAGAATCAGCGTAAGTGGGACCTGGCCCCCGGTCAAGGATGCCCAAGCCTCAACGCGAACGAAGGGTCAGGTCAGTTTCGCCCTTTGTCTAGTTCGTGGACAACAGCCCGCCAGGCTTCAACACTTGCTTAGCACGAACATAGCAATTGTAGGCTCCCGGGGGCCCCCCGCCGTAGTAGTCAGCAATAAATATTTCTGAAAATGGAAAGTAGTAGTCACCAATATTTCCAAAACAATGGAAAATGTATCGTGTGGTAGAACACGGAACCATACGTACGGGCGTAATATATGTTGTGTTGTCTTTTTCAAATTTGTTGAGTGGTCCGACGAGGACCATGATCTCGAGAGGCCCTGGAAGCCCACCACCGTGTGCGACCTGCAGCGCCGGATGTGCCACAGGCAGCAGTGAGGTTCACACCTATGTGTGACCGGTTTCTCCAGCCCTGTTTTACGGAGTCTCCCTGACCAATAGCATGGCGCGCTTTTCGAAATGTCACGTGGCGCCACACGTCCGGCCAAAACCGATTGGAAGTTGCTGTTGCATATGGCCAGGCGGGGGTTTTCATTTCAGGCTCAACAAGGCGAAGGCGGGGAAACGGGTTGTATTATTATTTGATAGGCTGGCCCGCGAGTTAGGGCAAGGCATGACCCCGCCTTCTGGTCAGCGTTGACGGCAAGTTCAGCGCTCTCTCCGCAAGGAAAACAAAGAAAGCAACGCGGGCCCCCTCGGGGGTGTTGACTCTGTGATCACTGATCACCCTACGCTCACACAGGCGAATTTTGTGCGACCCTGTCAGGGTTGGATTGAGGGAAAATTGCATCTGCACCCAGTCCCAGCGCCAACTTGCGTCTATACCCAGAAAACGGCTGGTGGAAATTGTTTGCGTGCACAGGACTGAGGTGGACCCGGTTGTTGTTTGCATGCCCAGGACTGAGGAGGACCCAGGTTGGTACCGCAAAATTGCGGTTATAACCAACTACCGAAATGCACAAACTATGGACATACCCAGGCAAAACTATGGGCATACCCGGGACCTGAGGAGGAGAGGCCAGATTGTTCATATACCCTGCACAAACTATGGACATACCCAGGCAAAACTATGGGCATACCCGGGACCTGAGGAGGAGAGGCAAGATTGTTCATATACCCTGCCACTGGATGGCTGAAAATTATGCTCATACCCTGCAGCCGCTGGGCCACAACGGTCTACTTGGTGGGCATGAGCATAATTTCATGCTCCCGATCCAGGGCCTGCGGGATAGGGTACACCTACAATTTTGCAGAGCGGAAAAGATGGGTACTATCCAAAGTTGAACGCCCTCCGGGTATTGATGCAAGTTTGGGCTGGGACTGGGTATAGCGGCTATTCCCATCTTTAAGTGGGGTACAGATGCAATTTTCTCTTTATTCGCAGCCCTTAGGCTGCGGTATAGTGGGCTTCGGCGTCTATGTCAAGGTGTCGCATTTTTGGCGGTGGGCGACCAGGACGCAAGTGGGTTTTTCGGCGGCAAAAAATTTTGGGGGACCGGTCCTTGGCAAAATTGAGGACTACCTACAGCTAGCTCTGGTAGAACCGGGACTTCTGGAAAAACGAAGGACCGGTCCTCGGGTGGAAGTGGACCCCAAAAAGAAGTGGGGGCATTGGACCGGTCCTCGGGTAGAAGCCGACCCCAAAGAAAGTGAGGGCATGTGATCTGCAAAAGGGCCCTCAGGCCCAGGCGTTGAGCCCCGTCTTCCCAAAACAGGGCGGTCAGGCACAACGAAACAGGCGTTTTGCAAGAGGCAACTTTGGCGATTTTCTGTGTTCAGATGAACATGCACAAAAATCTGAAATTTTGAGAATACATAAATGAGGTCGTGTTCTTTCCATAAATAATAATAGAACATTTACAAAAAATTATGTAGACTGCGAAATAATTATCGCGCCAATTCACCACATTTTCCATTTTTTCCCCTCAGCCATGCCAGGGCCAACTAAAACAATTCTCCAAATTCAGTGAGATTTCGAGCTCAGAAGAATGCGTGAAAAAACCTGAAAATTGGAGTACTCGTAAATTTTGTTGTGATCTTACCAAGACAAACGCTACATAAATTTCAAAAAATCATTCCAACTGCGAAATAGATTGCGGCCGCAATTTGACCCATATTTCAATTTTGCGATTCAACACCTCTCTCTCTCTCTCTCTCTCTCTCTCTCTCTCTCTCTCTCTCTCTCTCTCTCTCTC